GAAATAAAACATTTTAGAAGAGAACGCAGCATCACAGTTGTCTGACTCTTAACCAATGAGCATTAAGCTGTGTCTCAGTCAGTCGTTTCCCATCATGCTTTTGATCAGCGCAGTGGGTGGAGAGCAACTGCGCTCGACTGCACAATCCAACACAGCCGCCTCGCAATCGCGAGAGTTTTTTTTGCGCACGTCAGCATGACATCAGAGCAAGTCAGACGTAACTTGGACACTTTTCTAACCGGCATGCATCTCGCGGTGATCACCGGTGATCGGTTCTGCGCAGAGGTGATCGGTTCTGCGCAGATTTTGCTCATCTCAAACAAGCCTACTGCGAAAGCCTTGATGACGGCATACTTTATTCTCGTTAGTTAGATTCTGTGATGACAAGCAGGATGTGTGTTGCGTGCTTATTATAACCAATGATGCTGATCCAATGATGCTCACAAATCTGCTTTTATAACAGTAAAAGCATTTTTAGTCACACTGTTATATTGAGTCATGTTTCAAAAAACACTGATAAAAGCATATATACCCCGACTTTATTGGTATTTAAATAGCATATGCTAATGTTGAACTTATTCATGAACAGATGGCGCTGTATTAAGCAGTATATAAAAGTGTTTCTGTTGCTTTATGAAAACGTTTCTGAAACGTCTGTGTATTTGACAAATATTGCATTTATTTCACTTCATCTGTGATAGAGTATGCAAACACTGCCAGAGCGTCATTACCAGGAGTAAGCGGCTACTCTCTCCAGCCGGAGGCAGGCTAGTGTAGTTTCTCTCGAACATCCTAGTCTTCTCGAGCAAGTAACTACGGCGCTGCCGATGACTTCCGTAACCATGGAAGAAATGCGTTAAGCAGCGTGCTCTTGCTCTCGCTTGGGTCGCTGAGTGCGCGTGCGCATAAGAATTCAACTCCTAACAGCGTAAATAACTCAGAATGCACGAAACGACAACAGACCCCCCGTTAAGCGCAGCATATTGCAGCCACAAGCGTGTTGCCTGTGACAACAGATAAGTACCGCACATTCGCATAAACTAGCACAAGC